ACATACATACACACACACACTTTTCAAGTAGTAGAGTAGGCTATATTTCTCACACTAACATAAAAATGGAGCAGAACCAGAGAAAACCCTCAGCTCAGACCCTGTCCCTCGATAGAGTTCATATTACCAGGTCTGCTTCGTATACCCAAGATGGGAATGAGTGTGTTAATCATGTGCTATGACACACTCTCTGCCATGCAAACACACATTTATTTGGATATGTGGAACCCATTCATGTTCACAGTGTGAGGTCGGGGAAGTGCATTCATTTGTGGAAAGATAAACATGACGGTATTGCCTCAGCTTTGCTTAGGTCAGGTTTAAACCACTCCACACACTCAAATACTCTGCCATCTTAATCTAAATAGTAAACACCTTTATCTATATATTGAATATACAGTCCATATCTTTCACGTAAGAGTGACAAATGTGCACAATATTCACACATTTTGAGTGTTATCAGCTGCTGTCAGCTGGATGCTGTTAGAGTGTTACGCTGGGAGTTGGAAAAAAAGGAGAAGGGAGTGAAAGGAGGAGGAATGCAATCTCAACACCTTCAGCTTGTGCCCTATTCACCTTACATGTTGTTCTGCAGGAATGCCATTAGCTCAGTGAAAAATGGTTGTGTGTGTGGGTGGATGTGCTCGTGAATGTGAGTGTGCAGATGTCTGTGTGGTGTCTGAGTTGGAAGCAGGAGTAAGAGCTGAAACTAATTTTGGTGAGTCTTCAAGTTTGTCCACATTGACTTGAGTTTTTCTTTTCAAGGCACTGTGTGTGTGTGTGTGTGTGTGTGTGTGTGTGTGTGTGTGTGTGTGTGTGTGTGTGTGTGTGTGTGTGTGTGTGTGTGTGTGTGTGTGTGTGTGTGTGTGTGTCATGTGAATATTGGATCTCCTACAACACTTTAATGCTGTAAATTAAGTAGTCTGTGTGCTGATTGAAACCAGACGCTTTTACTCAGACTTCTTACACATATGGCAGCACATCGTTCCAAGGCACCTTTCTGTTTTTCCAAAGTGCTATAAATCCATTTAAGGTGAAATGAACCAAGGTTTTTTGTAAGTTGGCATCTTTCACTTGAGTTATCCACTACATAAATGGTAATGTCTAAATTGGAACTAAACTCTGTATCTTTATGTCGCTGTATATGAATCTCATGTCATTTCAGATGTTGCTCTCACTCTATCCCTGTTTTTGACTGCAGTTTTATGAATGTATACTACTTCTCAACCTAACTTAGGTCAAGTTGCACTTTATTCTTGCCTCACCCTGGATAGAACATACAGTAATTTAGATGAGTGTCACAACACATTACGATTGTAAGCTTAGAGTGCATCACAGAAAAGTCATAGTGTAGGTTAAGCTGTCTTTATTTGGGCCAAAATCTCAGAGAGCCAAAGCAGACGGAGCATTAAAGAATGCCCTAAAACATTGGCCCAGGTTTGATCTCATCTCAGATTTAGCATGGTTTAATATTTCATTATAACCCCTCTGGCTTAAAGGGCTTTGTCTCAACAGAGTTCTGCATCGGTCAGCACATGGCCCACGAACAGATACATACGGACACGCACACACACACACACGCACGCACGCACGCGCACGTGCACGCGCACGCACACGCACACGCACACGCACACGCACACACACACACACACACACACACACACACACACACACACACACACACACACACACACACACACACACACACACACACACACTTTGGCCTGCAGAGCCAGTGAAAACAAGGCCGGGCTCTGCCAGTGTAAACACGGTCCATTGTTATGGGCACTGTTTCCCGCCTCGTATCCTCGCTCCTCGTGGCGGGAGAGGTACAGCGCTGGCACTCGTCCCATCTACCGCAGTTATATTAAGACTCATTTGCCATGCATTTATGTGACCATGTCATTATAATGCAGGCTCTAGAGTGTGATTTATGTCCTCCGTTTCTCTCCCTTGCACTCGTCTTTCCCTCTTTTATTGGTTCAGTTTTTACTGCTTGGCTCCTTTAAGTGTGGTTTGCGGCCGTTTGCTTCGAGAGGTTTCAGCTTTTTGACAATTATTTTTAGACAAGCAGCCGTCAATTTGCTATGATGTACCAGCTTCTGCCAACAAAGTTAGGCCGTAGAGAAAAACATGGGAAACGGCTGTTCTAAAGGATATAAATCAGGGTGTCGGTGTGTGTGTCGATGCACATGTGTGCTCAATTTATGCACAAATATCAGGTGGGGCTTTGAGTGTGCATGCGTGGTTATATCTCAATTATGTCCCTTCATTTTGTAAAAATGTGAGTGTATGTCATGGCGTCTCTCAGCTGTGACCCTGGGCCACATGTGCAGCCGATTAGGGCCAATCAGAAGGCTGTAATCAGGGCGTGGCTTGAGGATGGTGGCAGCGTGGCAGTGGGGGAGTTTTAAGACCCGTGATTAGTTTGTCAGACTGATGAGGAAGGACAGGGGGGGGGCCAGGCCAAATCCCATTTCTTCATTTCCATGCTTATTTCACCGCCACATATGGGGGACTTTGTTTATTTAGTTTGTGCCAACCACGCTGGGATAAAGCAGGGTTTCAAATTCTTGGTTTTTAATCTATTTAGGCAACAGATTTGTGCGGTGCGCCACATGAGATGATGCAATTACAGAAAGGTATTTAAATGTAACAGTATACGTTTCTACAGCTGGCAACTCACCTCACACCATATGAGTTCTCCTGATGCAGTACGGTGAACCAAGGCCAAGCAGGTTAAACACATACACCAGAAATATGTAGCTACTTCTATTTGTCTGGCATCAACCTCCTGCCCTTTCTGCTCATGGCAAAATGAAAATCAAAAGTTGGAACCACATTTAGCCGAGGCCTTTGAACCCGTTTTGTTGATTGGCTCTCAGATGTTCTGCAGTAAGATAAGATCAAAAATGTCCTCCTCAGATGTGTGCAGTTTCTGTGAAGTTGTCACAATGTAATATACTATGGCAAAATGAATTAGAGAGTACTAGGGTGGGAATGTCTGAACAATAACTGTTCCCATTGGCTTTACATATAAAGTCAGTCAATGTTTTAAGGAAGACATTACTCAATTTTGAACCTTGTTAAGCAACTGGAGCATGCAGAGTCACAGAAGCTGCACTTTATAGACTCAGTTGACATTTTTACGTGTGTGTGATTGAAAAGCTCCAATCTGTCGAATGTCACTTTAAAATTAAACATGTTCAACTTATGGGTTACAACATCTATAATACTAATGTTCACTGAAACAAGCTTAAGTCAAAGACGAGAGGTATAAATGACAAGAACACGTTAACAAGCTGTTCTTTAAATCATAGCAGTTAGTGCACAAACCACAAATGCTGCAAATGTATCTCCTTGGTATCAATCATCAAGTCAATCATCGATATATCCTGTCATTCCCTACTGTCAATTCTTTCAAAAGGCAATGCATGTTATGTCATATAAACAATTGGTACCATAAATGTCAGTAGTTAAAAGTTCCTGCTCAGTCTTTTCATCATTGCGTACAATTGGAAAAACCTTGTAATGTTTCCAGAGCATTAGGAGTATCCAGGGGAGGGGAGCTTTGTGAGGTCTGCTGCGCTCCTTCCTGCACTGTGATTGACTCTTGGATAACTGCCAAAATCAGTCTCTGGAAATCTGATCAGAGTGTTTATTCATCGGCCTTTAAACAAATGGTTCACTTTTACCATAAATCACATGTCACAGTTTCACTATTAGTGCTCCCGTCAGCAGAACCAGGCAGCTGATTGTTCGTTTGTCCGGCGCAGTGAAAATGCAAGAACGGCACAGGATGGACAGACAGCTGGAGAGAGAGTCCTCTGTTGGGCTGTAAATCAGCGCTGATCTGACTGGGCAGACACACACAGGGACCGGAGCGTGGCCCAGTGGCCAAAACCACATGTGAGAGGGCAGGAATGTAAGGCCCACTGCATTGTGGGTTTGTGTCTGTGAGGAAGGATTGCAGACTCCCTGACTCACAGGACGCTGTGAGGTTGGGGGGTGTGAAGGGGTGAGGATGGAGAGGAGGGGGAGGGCAGCAGAACTTTCGGGAATCAGAGTGCAAGTTCAGGAGGACTGTGAACCATCATCATGCTGTCTCGTTTACAGCCCCTTACTCTCCCATCACAACATCCTCTGAGATTTGACTCTTAAATCTTTTCAGGATCTCCTGTGAAATATAGATTATGAAGCTTTATGCACACGAGAGAGGAGAATATCCCAAGTGACAAATATGATGTTATTGTAGGTATTGTCTTGTATAAATATATAAGATTAAAGTTAACCCTTTTAACTCAGCAATACAACAAATAGTCCTCGTTGCAGTATCTTTAAATGCTTTATACCCTAAAATCTGTACAACCTAAGATAAAAGGTTATGTAAGTAAATAAACCATAATTATTGTTAAAAGTATTGAACAACATTGAGTTAGATGTAGAACTATACACAACATGTTTCATACATTCAATAAGCTGTTTGAACAATGTACATTTTGAAGTGTTTGAGATACGGTCCTTTTTATCGGCAGAGTGCGAAAGCATTTGTGGTTTAATGACGGTACACTCAGCATATATGGTATTGTTAAATGATAAGATAACAAATGATGTAATCTACTGGTTTCCGCGAGTGTAAAATTTCATCATGCATAATGCTAAATTAAGATAATCATACAAACGTTTTCAAAGGTGGTCAAAAGCTAATAAGAGTACCAATACCAAGGAATTCATGCTAAAAGAAAATCCCATATCAATATTGATTAGGCTTTAAGCAGAACAAGAAATGGAAATGACTGCTATACATCTCTGTACATACCGCAATCTAATAATCCTCTTTGTGTCTTTCTTTGTTTCCCTCACCCCCAAATCCCCTCCTTTGCTCCACCTTTCCTTCTCTTTGAAGTGCCAAAGAAGTTGCTCCAGGAGCAGGGACCCAGACCCCCGGTGTTCTCCCCTCCACCCAGCGCCCATGACCCCAACATAGTGGGAGACAGCCCTCCAGAGGGGAGCTCAGTCAGAAGCCCCGACGCTGTTCCAGGTAAGCAAAACGACACGAGCTGTTTCACTCTCTCCCCCAGTGACCGACACTCTCTCCCAGCCCCCCATGGAGAGCAGTTAACGCTAAACAGTCCCGAGGCCCCCCAGGCACCAGCAGAAACAGTCATTCAGGTTTTAAGTCGGAGCATATATGTATGTATATTTAAAGTCACACGGGTTCAACTGTTACCATATGTATCCAAGCAGAGCCGTCGGTTTGGACCGTTTATGATCATTGCTCTTAAAAATATACGGCTTTTCAAGAGCCAATGATGTGACCACAGTCTAAATCAGTCTGCTATACTGCCCTGCTCCCTGAGAGAGAAGAAAGACGAAGAACAAATGAAAGAACGAAAAAAGGAAAAAGAAGACGCCAGCTAGGAAGGAAACTTAAACAAAGCTTTATTCATGAGGGATGATGGCCTGCGTCCAGCACACTAATTACTCTGCTCAGCTACCGGCACTGTACTGATTAGGAGGATAGACGGATGAATGAGGAGCTAAGAGAGGGAGGAGATGTGTGCTGGCAGCTCCTGACGCATGAATGGCTTCACTTCCTCGCACCGGGCTTCAAACACTCACCTGAAGCTCGTCTAGAAAAACCTGTTTTCATCTCCTATAGGGGATGAAACTATGAACGCGGAACAAGAAACTTTTTACTGTAAATAAAGGTATCATGGAGGCGTGTGGTGCAGTGGGTTGTGCGTTGGTGTTGGGATCAGGGGGTCACAGGTTCAAACCCCACTGCAGTCAGCATGTCATAGTGTCCCTGAGACACTTCACCCCAAATTGCTCCTGTGGGGATTTGCCCACAGTATTGAGTATGTAAGTCTCTTTGGATAAAAGCGTCTAACAAGTGACATGTAATGTAATGTATCAGGATCTTCACGTTTATTCACCTAATTTCTCTTAGTTTATTTTCAACCGGATAAGTGTAAAATAAACAGAATCAATCTTTTTACTTGACCCTTATGTTACCATAATCCTGGACCAATTTTATAGCATGCTTAATGCTTAAAGAAATAGTTCCACATTTTGGGAATGGGGTAAGATGAGAACAGTCATAAATGCAACTTCTTAAAATAATACTTAAAAGATTCGAACACCACATGACTGATCAGGGTCATTTTGTACAAATGGACTAACTCGTTAAAAAGGTTTAAGAAGTTTAAATTGTAAACCGCACATTTTTATTGTCTCCATCTTTGGTCCTCACTGCTCGTTGCTGTGGTGTTTCTCCACTGCGATTCCCAGAGATCATTGGGCCATTATAGAGAAAGTCTCCGTTTTTTTGTCTCTTAAACCATGATGACGCCTAAATCTGGTCATAACTACCCAGTTCCCTTATGTCTTTTATTCATTATTAAGCCTTACCCTCTGTTGCTGATGCTAAAAACATCAAATACTATTTATTTCTCTCTATTACAACAGCAGTCAAAGACATTTTGAGTACTGGAGAAAACATGAAGAGTGCTTAATTTATGTTGAAATATGTCGTTGAATTAAGTGCACCTCACATAAATTAAACACTATTTACGTTTATGTTGTTATTTAACAATTTAAATTTTAGGAAAGAAATAAACGGATTATATGTTATAAATTGTAAAACATATTCAATCAAAAGAGCAACCACTGCATTTACATAATTATGTTTAGTTGTATTTCTAGCCCTGTAAATGTTTTTCTTAAGGCTACGTCTGCCTATGTTTATGTATATTAGAAATAGAGATTGCTGCATGTTGTTGGTTGAATGTTAGCTCATGCACCACAGCAGGGGGTCCAGGTGGAAGCATTTACCTCCTCCGTAAGCAACTCCAGTCTAAACTGCATTTATCCGATAGAAGGAGCCTGACTCACCTTAAGAGAGACTGTAATTAGAGGTCATTGGTGTGTGTGACAGCCCACCAAAGTATGCTCACCTGCAAAAATCCTGCATGTGAATAAGACTAAACACAGATTTAAGGCTCTGATATTGAAGTGAACGCTTCTGTTTATTTTGGCTGTCGTAGCTTAAGGGTTGTGTTTTTCAGTGAGCGGTTGCTTATTCAAGGAGCTAAAGTTTCAGTAGTAACATATTCCAAGTAAACACTTCTTCACGTTAACAAGATGCGACTACACTCAGAAAAAAGTATTAAAATCCTTCTGTGCTCCTCTGTTCTCTCATCTTGACTCCTCGCCTCTTGCATACACAACGAAGCCAGCATGTAAACACAGAAAGAAGTCATACTGTGATGAAGGAGAGAGAGAGAGAGAGAGCAGGAAACAGTTGTTCTCTTCTATAAATAGATTGTTTTCTGAGATTTCTGGGAAGCTTTGGAGATGTTGCCAAAGTGCAAACTTTTCCCATGTGGGTCTCTGTTCTCTTTAATGACATGAGTCAGTGTGAGTTTGACAGAAGCGGATGTTGTGTGTGTTATATTCTGGATCCCACAACTCTCCGAGAACATGTGTGGGCCTTTATGCGTGATGCATCTTTTATCAGAAGCTTGTGTCCTAGATCAAAAACCACTGAGAGACTGGTGATGACTCAGCAGTCTGAACGCTATAGTCACAATACTTCAGAGACACTACACACTGACTTTACTGTAAATTAGCTAACTCATGCTGTAATAGTCTGACTGTACATGCCGTCATGAACTATTTACAACACATCCTTGTGTGTCATTGCATGTGGGCAGACACAGATTGAAGTTCTATTTTGAAAAAAAACATGACTGTCTAAATAAAGAATTCAAATGATAAACGAATCATCCCCGTAAAATGTAGTCTGCTTTGTGTTGTTAAACTGAACTTTTCTGCTTTTTCAGAAAGGAAGAAGGTCAGGGAGACCAACCCTGACGAGGAGAAGCTTTCAGAAGCCGGAGTAGTAGAAGGAGGAGGTGGAGAAAAAGGAGGTGGAGGACAAAGAGAAACTCCACCGCCCCCCCGAGTAATGAATCCAATCATGAACTCCACGTCTAGCTCCAACATGGCCCTCATCAGCAACGCACTGGCAGCCTACACTTTCATATCAGGTAGGGCACACTTTATATAATCATGTGTGACATCACATCACAAATTAGACACCTTAATCTGATCTCCTACCTCTATCAGGAAAATATTACATTTAACCACAGAGATTATGATTAGTGGAGAAAATCAGAATCCCTTTATTCGTCCCACAATGGGGAAATGAACATTGTTACAGCAAAGTATAGATAAATAAAAAAAAAAAATAGAACACTATTTTATAGTATTTAAAATAAAAATTATAACAATTTACAGAAGTACACATTCAGGTAGATAAGTAAGTCGTCTTGAAAAAGAGCTGGATAATAATGTCAAGGGGCGTTTCAGCTCGAGATTACTCCATGGGCAGGAAAACATTTGTCCATTGTATTTGAGTGCGTGGCTTCATGTGAGGTACATGTGTGTGGTACGCTATCTTTTGGGTAAAGAAAACCCTGTTTCCTTTTTCCTGGAACTGACATTTGGGGGCCAGAGGAATGCAGATGTTAGGCCGAGATAAAAGCTACACACACACGCACACACGCACGCACACACACACGCACACGCACACGCACACACACACACACACACACTGTCAGTCACCTGCTACAGCCAGCTGCTTAAACATATGCTGCAATCATATGGGGGTTTGGATACTTCCTGTTTTATTGCCTCAAATAAACAGTTTATACTTAGTGAAAGGCACTAGTTATACAGTCAAATAAACATACACTGAAATGTTTAGTGGAGGCAGAACCCGTGTAGGGTGGGCTCAAAAGGGTTTCTTATATTTCTAAGCTGCCATTACGTTTTTAGACCCGCATTTTAGAATTCCTTTTACTGATGAATATAAGACCAATACAAATCATTTATGACCATCAAATGTGACCTTTCAAAAAAAGATACAAAGTTAATTGAAACTCTGTTTAAACATGATAGTAATATTTGCAATTGTATGCCTTTTTTATTTGTATTTCTCAATTGTCTGAGGTTTTTAAGAGCTGTAATCCTCAGTTTAAACAGAAAGAAGTGAGCTTGGACAATATAGCCAGGCAGTACTGTAAAGGCATGTTTTCTGTATGAAATCAACTAAACCTTTTTTGTCGTCTGTCTTTCTTCCCCCTAAAGACCACCCAGAGAGGGCAGCGCTCTTCTTCGTCTGCGGTGTGTGTTTGGGCCTCTTCCTCACACTCTTCGCCCTGGTGGTGCAGATCTCCTGTCGCACCGACTGCCAGCCTCGGCAGCGGCCTCCTGCCAAGAAACGAGCGCGCCCTGCCGACTCGTCCTCCGAATCAAGTGACTCGGACTCAGATTGGGAAACCACCTCAGATCTGTCGGCGCGGCGACACCGGCGGTTTGAACGCACGCTTAACATGAACGTGTTCACGTCGGCCGAGGAGCTGGAGAGAGCGCAGAGGCTGGAGGAGAGGGAGCGCATCATCCGAGAGATCTGGATGAACGGGCAACCTGACATCCCCGGGACACGGAGCCTCAATCGCTATTACTGAGGACTCTTTAGGGGCTTTTTTATGTAAAGCTTACTTGACTTGAACACAATTTAGGATGCACTTGGGTTGGGGCAAGAGACATGGTCCTTAAAAAGCTTTATAAGCAAACTGTGGACTCACTGATGAGAACAGGGGGAGGTATTGGAGATACAAGGAAAAGTCCTCCCTATTTGCTGGTTTGCATATTCCTCTGGGTATCATAAGCTGTACCCCATTCAGTAAGAGAATAAGCTCCCACTCCACATGGTAAGCTCACTTCTTTCTGCCGGAAGCGAGGGGTGAAAGGCTACAGCGCCTCGCCCGTGACCTCGGCAGGCCGTTTTGAAGTGGGGATTTATGGGTTAGCTGCCTTAGACACACACAGGCCTGCAGAGAGGGCATAGTGACTGAAGGACCAAGGCCTCAGATGGATCTGTTTTATGCAGGGTCACCTGAAAAAGACTGGGACACTTGGAGCTTTATGCTCAGCACCCTCCAGTATTTAAGTGTGGACTTTACAGAGGGGCGGCATAAAGCAGAAAGAAGTGTACTATGGGACAATGTAAGACAATCTTTCCACAGAAAATAACCACGCTGCCTTTTGAACTTTCTAAAAACCAAAATATATGTTGGAGGGAATTCATCTCATCCATTATGAAATCTATTTTATAATATTTAATAGTTTATTGATGTTGTGTATTTTTGTTCTCAAGTATGGTTTATTATGAGATATTTTTATACTTGGCGAAGGTTTGTCTGGCACCTCAGGGATGCAATCCTAGTGTTTCTGTGTTTGGTTGATGTATTTGCTTCCTAAGAAGGGGATCAGCCCATTTAAACAGCTAATGTCAGCATTTAAAGAAAAAAAAAAATAGAAATATTATATAAAGAGCCTCAAAGAGGTTTAGTGATTTTATCTTATTTTTGATACAGTATGTTTAATTCACAGTGTGGTGCCTTTTCTAGCTATTAGGTCACTGTTGTCATGAGTGCAGCTGGTATATAACCCTATAACTGGTCATATTGGATATTCCAAATTTATCTTGTCATATATGTATTCTCGTTTAATGATTACTGTTGCTTTGCCGAAGTAGAGCATGTGTAAAATATGTCTATGTCACACGTTGCACTTGCTGTTCTCCCTGGATGTAAATGTTCATAACCAGAATATGCCAATTTTGTACCAGTAAATACGCTAGAGATAATTGTTCTGGTCGTCACCCAAATTTCAGGTCAACTGTGCCATTACTTCTAAGGTACCACCAGTGCTAAACCAGATGATTGTGGTAACCGCTGCTCATGGCCATCTGGAGAAGGAACCAGCTCTGAAAAAAGGTTCACAGTGCACGAGCAAATCTGCGTCTCTTAAATTATGTTGCCAGTTCTATAAAATAAGCTATTGTCAATCCAGCTCTGTGTGCGCTGCCCTGGATTCCAACATAGAAATAGTTATAGTTTTCATTAAAAAAAAGCTTGGTATTTTTCCTGACTGAAATTTTAAATGAGAGTATACAGGACATATTAGGGTCATCAAAATAAAGACTGCCAATATATCGTTTTTTATAAAGACATTTTTTATGTTTGAATTTGAATGGATAAAATGTGCCGATAGCTGGTAAAGTGAGACCAAATTATGACTCCTGTGTTTGAAATAAACTGTGTTGAAAAAAAACTTGCCCACTGTTTGATTTAATCTTGCACATTTTCATGTTCACAATGTTTGTATTATAGCCCAATCATTACATACATTATTACGTCATTACATTACACTACATGCTCTGTACTATGTTCTTGCTGTTCTGATCTCATACTAATGTCATACTACAGAAATAGAGCATAAACAGTACAGTAAGGTAATTATATCTCACAAGATATGTGTTTATGATGGATGTGATGGATGACATATTGTTATTGAGTCGAGCGAGAAGTGTTTGTGTGCGTCGCCCCCTGCTGGTGAAGTAAGTACTCTTCAGTTTGAGTGCATGGATGCTTTTATATTTATTTTTGAATGCCTGTCATTAACAAGATCTTACTATTCTGGACGTTTATTTCATTCCTTTTGTTTCCACTTTGAATTGTCATTTAGTTTTCATAAATATTTGTTTTCCTTTAACATTTGCTTCAAAATGTTGCTGTCGTTCCGTTTCCATGGATACAACAAAAATAACAACGAGGTGGTTGTCTGTCCGAGTTTTACACGGTAACAAAAGCTAAAACCTTGTGTAGGTTCGAAAAAATACTACGACACCGGCAATGTGGTTGAACATGAATAGCACTTTTCGGGATGTAAGGGTAAGAATATAAAAAGTTACACCTAAACTTGCTAGGTTTTATTTAATGCAAATGTTGCAACGTTCGCTATACGCTTTAAGGCTCTACCGTTTGGGGAAAATGTGTCAAATGTAATCTTAATGGGGAAGATAATTTGCTGTCCTCTTTATGTAGCCTAATGCAAAGTGCATTCCTATAGATCAACAGAATAATTTCCGCAGTTTTGTTGCCATTTCGGTACTATTCAGAACTAACTAACGATGCTATTAGCTATACAAGTTAAAATATGATCTGTTCGGATACTTTTAAATTGTCATTGTCCGTGGGACAGCAGTGTTTTCTCTATAAACCGAAGTGTGCGTGCGTTAGTGTGCGTGCGTGCGTGTGGCGGACACCGGCTCTTACGATATGATGCTGTGACATTTTTGCAGAGGTGCTCATAAAATGAATATTGGTGACACAAAGTCAGGGCAACGATAAACCTGCACTGAAATTAACTAATATGAACTCCTCCTCCATATTTGCCGTACAATTATGTTTACGGAAGTAAATATATCTCTCGGCTGGGATTGGTTGTTCCTCGTCGCACCGCCACCACCGGCTTCGTTCCAAAAGTTTAATTATTTTCAACTCCGCAACGACGTCCCTAACATGTTTTGAGCGCGTGTTCATTGAAAACAATTGAACTGACTGCACACAAAAACGCTCATGTGCAAGGCCCTTATAACTGTTGTTTGAGTGTAGTATCTGTGATTTAAATATGTGTATTCCCATTGGAATTTGCCAGAGCTAATGTATTCCTTCCTCAATGCTCTCTCATGCAGAAGTCAGCCTTTCATCGTTCCCAGACTCTTGTCTACAGAAATGGCTTTGCTCTGCCTCGTCGCCCCACTGTGGGCATTGGACAGGACCCTCTTTTATCAGAGCAGCTGATCCAGCAGCAGATCAGTGAGTTGTCCTCTGAGACACCATACATTACTCATGGCTCCTATCAAGAACAAGGCCTAGTTGAAGACTTCATCCCAGCCTACGTGGCCCTTGACAAGAAGGTACAATCAGGCCCAGAAGACCAGTATTTGAAGATGTTTTGCTGGTCATGGTTCCTGTTCCTCACCAAACTCTTTTTCTTGTAGGTGCTGCGGTTCTATGCATACTTTGAGGAAGATATCCTGTTTTCCCCTAAGGAGCAGCATCGTGTGTGCCCCGTGGTCATTTACTACTACCTCGAGGATGACAGCATGTGCATTTTTGAGCCCAGGGTGGAGAATTCTGGGATACCGCAGGGGGAACGGATTAAACGCCAGCGTCTGCCGAGGAATGAACATGGGGAGCCTTATCTATGGAAGAACCTCAATATTGGCATGTACCTGGAGGTGTACGGGGTCAAGTACAACATCACACAGTGCGATGCTTTCACTAAGGTACAACACTAACTTGAATGCTTTTGCAGTGCCTTGTGTTATCTTTTCTGTGTCTCTAGAGATAACCATATCGATACATTGTTGTTCATATACTCTCTCATATGTCTCTTTTTTATTATCTATAGGAATTCATGGAAAGTGAAGGCATTGTTCTGAATGACCCTGAGCCAATGCCTGTGGATCCTTATGGCCAAAGTAGAAAAAGCACTCTGCCTTCCCACATAACACCCTCCAGCTTTGACCAGATGCAACAATTTATCGACATGGATCGAAAGGTAAAGTCCCTCAGATCCAAACTCACTAGGAACTCATTTTCAAACATTAAACCAGACAGTTTTTAACAGGGAAGCGGGAGTACAATATAAGATGTTCAAAAATATCGTATATCTTTTTATACTTGCCATGATGTTATACAGTATTTGCTCTTGCAAATATTGCTCTCCTCTCTCAGTAGACTGCACCTAAAATAATGAAATCATTTAGATAAGGAGATGCCATTCACACTACCGAGTTAAGCATTATGTATCTGTTGGACAAACTATTTATCCTAGCTTAATCAAAACCATTATATTTAATTAATTGTGAATATGTGTTTCTTTATTTTGAGATTGAGCCTATATTGACAGTTACAAGGATCCAATTTTATATAACTGACCTTATAAAACATGACAAATGTGACGTTAACCTTAAGAAGTGTTCTGAACCACCACCAAAAGCTTCAAATGAGTGATATATTCCAACTCTAGTTTCAGTGTTTCAACCTCTTCTCGTTCAGGTGCTGCGTTTCTTTGCCCTGTTGGATGATGCAGACGCTCTGTTCGCGGACACCAGGGCCGTTACCATCCAGTTCTACCTGGGGGACAACACAGTGGAGATCAGAGAGATCCACGAAGCCAACAGCGGCCGCGATCCATTCCCCATCCTGATGCACAGACAGAAGCTGCCCAAGAAATTTAAAGCTGCGCCTCGTAAGATGCAACAGTCCGAGTCAGCTTCAGTTCTGTATAGAATTACATTAGGTCTCATACAGTGCTTTGGTTAGCTGAAGAACACAATCCACATATTAATGATCCACTACTATTTTACTCAAAATATAAAAATAATAATGACTTTATTTGTGTAGTGTTTTCTTTTAAACAAAATATGCAATATGTTGTTTTAGGTGTAAAAAGTAATAATTTTACAAACAAAGAAGAACGATATTTAACATACTGTCTACATTAAAGCAGAACGGGCTCAAAAAATAGACAACATAAGAGAGATTTAAAAACGAATCAACACTCATCAAGTTACTCATCCTATTACTTCCAGAGAACTTTCCCAGCTGTGTGCTGGAGGTTTCCAAAGCAGAAGTAGAGGAGTACTACACTCCTAAAGACTTCCAGACGGGTCAAACGATGAAGCTGCGGGGCCGTCGCTTCCTTCTGTACGACTGTGATGGCTTCACTAAAGAATATTACCAGGAGAACCACCCTGACATCCAGATGAAACCCTCAGAGGTACCAAACAAGACTAGCCTGGTTCAGCTGAGGAAAAAGGTGAGAAACTAAAAATGTTCATCTCTCTTTTGTTTTCTTTTCTATGGAAGCCCATTTCCGCCAATTAAAAAAATTAAAATCCCCATGAAAAGTCATTATCGGAATTATGAGATAAAATGTCATAATTACTTTTTATCTCATAATTTCGACTTTCTTATCTCATAATTATTACTTTTTATCTCATAATTTCGACTTTTTTATCTCATTATGACTTTTCATGGGGATTTTTTTTTTTTTCAAGTAGCGGAAATGGGCTTCCATACTTTTCCTCATACGAACAATATTACTTATGGTTAATTCATTACAGGAGGTTCCTCCCTATAATGGTTTTGGATCCCTCGAAGACTCTCTCCAGAATTGTTTGTATTTAATTCCCGAGCCTCCCAAAAAGAACGTGTTGAAGATGTTAGAAAACAACAACAAAGTGTTGTGCTACAGTGCCAGGATGGTGAGTCAACATCTATGAGAACATCAGCACCACACCACATAATTTCTCTCCTTGCTGAAACCGTCCTTTGTTCTTGACATTCCAGGAATCCCAGAATCCTGACGATGATGGCCGACTCTTCATACTGTCCTACTCCCTGGCTAACGACATGATAAGTATTTATGAAAAGCCCACTCGCAACTCTGGTATCATTGCTGGAAAGTTCCTGAAAGACACACGCATCCCCAAACCGGGCTCTACAGTGGAGAATCCGGAGTTCTACTCACCTGCGGACTTTGCTATTGGAGCCACTCTGCAGGGTAACTTTCTCCCTTAAACAGCCTGAATTTATTTATTGTCTTGTTCAAAAGCAGCTTTGTATAACTCATGTAACGGTAACACTCACTGTAACAAATGTCAGCCTGAGTTATAATGGTTTATATGCATTTCCCATTAGGGGATCAATAGAAAATACATCTAAAACTGTTCTAATTGCATCCGTCTCCTCTGTTTTTGTAGTTTTCGGCCGTCGCTTTGTGCTTACCGATGCTGACCAATATGTGCTGAACTACCTGGAGTCCAACGCCGGCCAGATCCCGCATCAGACTCTGCTTTCTATTCACCAGAAGCTTGGTGTGAGGACAGAAAACAACCAGGCACATGAACAAAATGGTAAAAAATCAAATCATCAATCTAGCAAAACATCATTTTTTTTCCCTTTGAGTTTACTTACACAACAATGTTCTGTTTTTCATTCTTCATCAGGTGATGATGTAGCAAAGCCATCTCCATGATGAAAAGGAAGGCTGGATTGCTTCAAATTGTTGTTCACTCCCAAATAAATCATATCATAAATGAACGCCTTTACTGAAAATACTGAATTTGCTGCAGAAAAGATTCTGATTTTTTTTTTTAATTCAACAGCTGTTTGGTGTTAGTATGGTTGACCTTACAATACCCCTCCTATCAAGTAGTCACCTAAGACATAGCCTACAAA